GCTCGCCGTGGTCCCGGACCAGCACCAGCAGGCGCTGGCGCGGCGCGTCCGCCTCGTCCAGGGCGCGCGTCGTGCTCACCTCGCCCGTGTACAGGCCCACGCGGAACGGGCTGCGCGCGCCGCCCGCCGCCGGCTGCAGCTCGTATGACAGCCATGCGTTGTAGCCCGAGTCGGCGTCCATGGCGCGCACCTTGGCCACCACGTGGCCGGCGCCCGTGGCCCGCGGCAGCAGCGCGGGCGCGTTGTCGTTCTCGTCCAGCACGAACACCTGCAGTGTTGCGTTGCCGCCCAGCGCGGGCACGCCCGCGTCGCGCGCGCTCACCTGGAAGCACAGCAGCTCCAGCTCCTCATGGTCCAGCGGCTGCAGCGCGTACACCTTGCCGCTCTCCGCGTGCACAGACACGTAGCTCGACAGCGCGCGCTCGCCCACGCGCCGCTCCACCAGCGAGTAGGACACCCGCGCGTTCTCCTGTGCGTCCGCGTCGCGCGCCGACACCGTGAAGATGTGGCTGCCCGGAGCGTTGTTCTCCTTCACGAACACCGTGTACTCGGCCTGCGTGAACGCGGGCGCGTTGTCGTTCACGTCCGCCACCTCCACGGACACGCGCGCTGTGGCCGACAGCGGGGGCGAGCCCCCGTCGCGCGCCATCACCTCCAGCTCATAGGCCGCCACGCTCTCGCGGTCCAAAGCGCTGTCCAGCACCAGGGAGTAATAGTTCTTGAAGGTGGACACCAGCTTGAAGGGCGCAGTGGGCGTCAGGGAGCAGGTCACCTGTCCGTTGGCCCCAGAGTCGCGGTCGGACACGCTGAGCAGGGCGATGATGGTGCCCACTGGAGCATCTTCTCTGATTGGGAGTGAAAAAGATTTGAATTCTAAATCGGGAACATTATCGTTTGTGTCTTCAACTTCTACTATCACTGTACAATGTCCTGAAAGTGGGAGTTGTCCTTTATCAATGCCCTCTACAAGAATTTCATAGGTTTTGCTTTCTTCAAAATCTATATGCCCCTTTACTATAATTTCTCCATTAATTGGATCTATATGGAACTTGGATTTCACTATGGGGGCAATATCAGTTGAGAATGAATAAAAAATGTCCCCATTGAAGCCTTCATCCAGGTCAGAAGCGTTTAGTTTAATTACCAACGTTCCATTGGTTGTATTTTCTGGTAATTTCACCGTGTAGAGTGTTCTGTCGAAAGCGGGGGCGTTGTCATTGGCATCAAGCACTGTGATGAGGATCTGAACGGTTCCAGTCAGCTCAGGCTTACCCCCATCAGTGGCCGTGAGCACTAAAACGATCTCTGGAACGTCTTCCCTGTCTAGATGTTTTCTTAACACAAGTCTAAGACGGTTTCCCCGCATGTCATCGGTTGGTTTTTCTAGAGCAAAATATTCATTGTGGCCAAGCCTGTAAGTCAGCACCGCGTTGACCCCAATGTCTGCATCTGAGGCACCCTCTAGTGGAAACCGAGAGTCAAGCAGCCTGGATTCCGCGATAAACAGATTCTTTTGTGTTTCTGGGAACACGGGCGGGTGGTCGTTAATGTCCTTCACCTCCACCTCCACGTGGAAAACCTGCAGCGGCTGCTCCACGATCACCTCCAGGTGGATGCCGCACGCCGCGCTCCGCCCGCACAGCTCTTCGCGGTCGATCCGAGAATTCACAAACAAAATGCCATTCTGCAGATTCACCTCCAGAAGGTCCCCGCGGTCTTTGGACGCCACGCGGAACAGGCGCGGCACCAGCTCCGCCAGCTCCAGTCCCAGGTCCTGCGCGATGCGGCCCACGAAGGTGCCGTGCTTGGCCTCCTCTGGGACCGAGTAGTGGAGCTGCCCGCTGCCCGCCTCCCAGGCGGCGAGCAGCAGAAGGGAAAACAGCAGGCGCGGGGATCTGAGGCTTCTTCTCCAGGAACACTGCATCATAAGCATTCAATGTTTTGTTGTTTCTGAGGGTCCTTTCTCAAAATCAAGAGGAATCTTCTGACTGCTCAATCCAGCGCTGCTACATCCTCCATATTTCCAGTATGCAGGTGGCGTAAGCAGCTCCCTTCCAGTGGTGTGAGAAGGGTGTTTCTTTTCTTCTCTTAGATCCATTTTTTGGAGGAGAGCGACCTCTTGTGGTTTCGAACAGTATCCATTCTCAAAATCCTCGCTGAACTGTAAGTTTTGTTTTACACTCAGCTTGTCAGCATGACTTTTTTTTTTAATCATTTTATTGGGGGCGTACAATTCTTATCACAATCCATACAAACATCCATTGTGTCAAGCACATTTGTACATTTGTTGCCATCATCATTCTCTGAACATTTGCTTTCTACTTGAGCCCTCGGTATCAGCTCCTCATTTCCCCCCTCCCTCCCCACTCCTCCCTCCCTCGTGAACCTTTCATAATTCATAAATTATTATTCTTTTGAATAGCACTATGTTTCCTACTGTGTCGGGGCACGTTTTGTGCCACTTATCACGTGAGTTTCAGTTTGATAAGGACAACTCTTGCTACAATGGGAAAACATAGCAGTTATATGTATTTACAGAGATTCAACTGAAGTATTGATTCAGTAAGTTCATGACCAATAGATTCTTTGTGTTCTGAATAATGAGAGGAACTTGTCATTGATGATTATACTCTCTTTATACTTGGATTTTGTATTCCTGTTATTGAAGACTTGAGGTAGCTGAGCTTCAGAGAACCACTGACCCCAAATAAATCATTGAAATGGAGATATTTGAGAAATGAATCAAACATCATCAGACTTTGAACAGGTTTCTTAAACCATCTAAGGGTACAAGAAGCTTTAACAAGGAAGCAGAAACTTGTAGATAGTGTGGTACAGTATTTCAAATATGTTTGTTCGCTGGTAACATTCACTCTATGAGAAATGTTGGCATTTACAATTTGTCTCTGAAATGTATTATGATTTGTAAATAGCTGAATGAATATTCTCCAGTCTTTAGTATGACCAAATGTATATTTTCTTTCAGTATTCAGATATTTTATTCAAACAATAAAATATCTTTTTCAAAAGACTCTTTCCCCTAAGCAAATATAACCATGTCATATTTTGTCTAACAAATACTCATCATTTTCAAACTCCTCACAAACAATTGCCCCATTTTATAACTATTTAAAACTTTCTTAGCCCATAAAGACTTTCATAATCAAACCTAATGAGCAAGCATCATTATCTCCTTTTATAGCGATTCAAACCCAGGTTAAAGAACTTGGGCTATTTCTTACATTTATTTCTTTTATATACATTTGAATATATATGACCTAGCCTCCTTTTTTGTAATGTGAATTTCAAGAGTCAAGAGTTGGCCTAGAGGTACTTTGTTACTATTATATGCTGAATATTTATCCTTAGAAATTGTTCAGATCCTCTACAACTCTCCAATAGGATTAGTTAATTTACAGTAATAAATCCTGGTGATCGTTAGGGTTAATGATTCATTTGAGAAAAAATTCCAAAAGGAGTTAAGTTTAATGCTTTATAAAAATGAATATTCTATATATGCTTTCAGAAACATGTTTAGCAGCGTCTATAATTTTTTTCAAGATTCAAAAACATCCTCTTTAGACATTTCCTTAATTAGTGTATATTTCAACTTTCAAGTTAAAGACCTGGTTTTAACTTCATTTTCCTTCTAGCTTAAGGAAGTTAAGACCTTTGAGACACCCTGGTTTAATAGGCAAGACTTCCCAATAAATAGAGCACATTGTGCTTTCCTTTATAAACAAACTTAATGTAGAAGATGAACTGGTGACCACCTTTACACTTGCTCTATCGCTAATGGTCATATGCTTCATTCATGTATGTTTGTCTACACAAAATGTCAATATAGTGAAAATATCTTTAGACTCACTTCAGACATACACCCAAATCTGAATCAAAACAAATTAAGAGACTGCCACGTTTTTGAAACTCAAACAGTACAAAATTATGATAGGTATCAAAGAAACTGGAAGAAAGTGAAAAGTACTCCCTATCCATTCACTTTATTTGGAAAAATAATAAAATGCATAAATGAAGGATGCAATGGAATAGAAAAGGATATTTATTTGGTACCTAATCCATGTTTAAGGAGTCCTTTGGGTTCAGTAGTTAAGCCACCTGCTGTGATCCAACTGGTTGGCAATTTGAGCTCACCCAGTGACTTTGTGAGATTAAAAGTTCTGGCAAGCTGCTTCTGTAAGCATTTCAGGCAGGAAAGCCCTAAGGTAGTTCCACTCTGTCACATAGAGTGACTACGAGTGGGAATGAACTCAAGGGCACCAAACAACAAGCAGTATTCATGTGGCACTGCAGCAAAATTTTCTAATGAGACGAAACTCAGTCTTAGTAGCCAAAGGTCTTCTTAGGCAAGAATTCCAAGAAGAGAGTTGGATTTGAGAGCAAAGTCCTACTAGATAGAATCATATTCATAGGAATGTCACTAGTGATTTTACTAATTCGTTGAACTTATTTGACAGAAGTAACCATAATATTGTGTGTAATGACATTAATATTAATAAGTTGTATGTAACGTTTTAGAATTACCATATATTATTACTCTCAAAATTGTTCAGAATAAAATGATGTTCAACATAATTTTAAAATAATCTTTGTTAATGAGAAGAATATTTCTAAATGATTATTTAGTTACAGGAGAATTACATTTTTAATTACTACTGATGTTTTCAGACCTTAGCAATAAAGATCCAATTATAAAACAATGAATTTAATATTCTTACTTTAAAAGAACAACTGCAATTGTGAGAGACAACAAATAGTATTGTCAGAGGAGTGCACAGGCTTAAAACAAATCAGAGTTCAGTGGAAAGAAGAGGTTGATACTGCAAACACGTAAATAAGAAAGTGAAAAAGCTTCATAAAGACAACAGGTTTCACAAACTACTATGTATAAAGGAGTAAGAGAAGAACAAAAGGGAATATGGAGCATTTGGGATTAATTGATCCCGGGTTACTGACATTTGGACTAACAGTTTATAGAAAGTGCAAAAAGAGGAGCAGGGAGGAAAGGGATTGCAGCATTGTGGGGTGATTAGCATTTGGAGATGAATTTGCTAAACAACAAACTTCATGCAAGAAAAAAATGTAAATGTGTACACACAATTTTAATAATTACCCAATTCTGCAACACCAGATCGCATTACTTATTTGGTTCAAAAGTATTCTCTCTCCCTCACTGCCATCTAGGAGTTGCCTGTTCATAGGGATCCCACTGTACAAAGTAGAATTACCCCTGTGGGGTACAGAGACTGCAATTCTTTACAGAAAGAGGAAGTCTCTGACCTTTCAGTTTAGCAGCGTAGTGAGCCCTGCATCACCGTGAGTAGTATTAGTCAAAAGTATTATAAAGTTAATTTAATCAGAATAAAACAGTACTTAAAGACCGCTCATTACTGTGGATGTCAAACTAGAATAATTACGATTACATTTTCTAAATTGACATGAAGATGTTTGAGGTTTAAAAATATCTGGAAATGATACTTACTTTGGAAGAAAGATCAGTGTCCACATGCAGCTGTTCATCTCTACCCCCACTAGCTGGGCAGGGCGGGAGGCTGGGGCTGAAGGCCATGAGGTCGGTCTTGGGCGGCCCCTCCCCAGAGCAC